GCTCCCAAGAGTTGGGTTGTGTTTTTTTCCCCTTTTTCAACAGCTTGTTACTTAACCCTAGAACAAGTTCACAACCTAATTATTATTTCCTTCTCCTCCTCTCACTCATAAACATTCAAATATAACTCATTAATCCCAAGCATACATTAGATTAATAAAAGCTCCTTAAAAATTGTCTCGAACTGCATTTCTTATCCTCTGATGGTATACGTAAGGTAGAGGCTACAGCCTTTATTTTCATTTACTGCAAGACTAATATTAACTAATATTGCTTTTTAGAGAGACATATGTTTGCTCTTAATCTTCCAGCTCCTCTCCAAGGAACTGCCTATTCTTCTGAAATTAAGTTACCCTCTGTGAATCCCACGCCACTCCAGCTTCTTTTGTTACATATAGGTAAACCTACACGCATAGAAATTTCTCCAAGTAGTACAGTAAACTTTCCAGTCTCCTAACTAAATCATTTTATCAGCTATTTCTAGACAGCAGTGGTAAAGCCTTTTAAATCAAATGATTAGTGTTTTGTAACCTGAATTTGCACTCAAGATAAATTTTTCATCATGCAATAATTCAGTCATCAACTACCTAAAGAATTTAAAAAGCATTTGTTATAACAGCAACGCACAGATAAATTCTCTATTTCATCTTAACAATTCATACCATTAACATACTTCAGTTGAAAATTACATTAGTTTTATGTAGTTTTGTTATTAGCTTATTAATTGCAGCCTTAAAACAGTACACTGATAAAGCATGCAATTATTACACATTTTGGTTTTGCTATTTAGATGAAAGCACCACATAATTAAAGATGCAGGTAAGAGAAATTGTCTAATGCATCTCATGGCCTTCTCCTTAGCCGTTATCATAGAACCGTCTGGTTGGAAGAGACCTTCAAGATCATCGAGTCCAACCATTCACTCTGCACCGTCAGGGTCCCTAAACCACGTTGCTCAACACCAAATCCACATGGTTTTTAAACACCTCCAGGGATGGGGACTAGTTATGAAAGACTACCGTATATACAGTAGCAGAGCTAGTGGCAACATTTGTTATTAATGTTGTCCAACACTTGCCAGGGAAAAATTCCTCTTCCTGGAACAGCTAATTACTTCACACTTTAAAAGAGACTTATTTTAAACCTTCTACAGTTCCATTTAGGCAGAACCTACAGAGGACCCCGACATGCAACTAAGGAGGACTGCTGGAGGGAAAAGGAGGAAGAGGAGGCTGAGTCAACAGGGCGATGGGGTAGAAAAGAGCCTGGGCTAAGAACTAAGACAAGGTAAGCCTGACTTTCCACATTCCCTCCACTTATTTCATGCTTTTTCTGTAGGAAGAAACAGCAGAGACGACCCTGGCATGAGAACACTCCCCGTCAGCCTGATGAGGAGCTTTAGGCACAGGCCCCCCTGGTGCAGCGGCAGTGAGGGAAAAAGCAGCACCTTTCATTTCCCAGTCGTCACGGCAGCTTCAGGCCAGCAAGGATAATTACCAGCTCGCTTTTGGCATCCTGGTTCAAGTTGAATCACAAATCCAAAACTCCAAGTTTGGTAATCGCAGCCGAGTTCTGCTTCGCACAGCTATTTATACCAGGCATGTGGCACAGTCAAAAAATCTCAGGATATTAAGCCATGGTGGTATGACACGACTCTGAGAATTGAGGGCACAGGAATTCTTTCTCCAGTGACTGAGAACACGTGCTGCTGTTTCTGTATGGAACCACCCTCCTGAACTAATTAATGAAGTTATTTCTTTTCTTGCTCTTCAAACTCTTAAATTAAGGCACTCAATCCACTTTTTCATGGCATGCTCAGGTAAATCAGCCAAAGATTTCAAAGAGCATTTCCTGAAACTCAGTCACAGTTACTAGTAAACTAGCCCCTTTCTAAAAAGCAAGGCCCTCAAAGGCCTTTCACTATTGCCCTCAGTTCCCAAGCATAACTTGTGTTTTAAGAAGCAGAAATTAACTGAAAGGGCATATTGAGGTTCATGTTGTTGAACAACGAAGCCGAAGATTCTCAAAAAAAAAAAAAAAGCTCAAATATCCACACAAAAAAAATATATGTGTGAGTTTTGAGGGGTTTTTTGAGGAATGGCCAGACCTACGGTAGCACCCTCACCCCAAAATAAACTGCACTACAATCTTCCCAGGAGTAACAGCAGCACTGAAACAGACTTCAGAATCATAGAATGATGAATGGTTTGGGTTGGAAGGGACCTCAAAGATCATCCAGTTCCAAGCCACCTGCCACAGGCAAGGACACTAGATCAGGTTGCTCAAAGCCTCATCCAGCCTGGCCTTGAACACTTCCAGGGATGGGTCATCCACCACTTCTCTGGACAATCTGTTCCAAAAATGAAGGGGCAGGTTTAGGGATAGTATTCCCTCTTGACACTCATAAATTAAGGTATGTGTCTCAGAACTTAATCTCCAGGCTGCTGGCCTGACTTAAAAAGTTAAAAAAATAAATAAATCAGTAGCCAAAGTAAAAAAATTAATGTATGTGTCTCAGAACTTAATCTCCAAGCTGCTGGCCTGACTTAAAAAGTTAAAAAAAATAAATAAATCAGTAGCCAAAGTAAATTGTTCGCAAGAATGAAACCAGAATTATTGACAAAGCATTCTTAATTTTCATCATCTCTTACATCTTGTACCTTTGTTAGTGCTTAGAAAAGCACTGTAAAAAGTCTTTTATGCATTCTAAGATTGTTGGTCTTTCCTGGGCAGTATCTGCTCCGTTTCATTACTTCAAAGAAGTATATTCCTACCATGGTTTTTCAACACTGTTTCATGAAAGTAAAATAATCTTACCTGGTAGAACTATGAGACCCTTTTCCTTCACAATGTACTTTTGTTCTGGAGAGAAGAATGAAGATTTGTCTTATTCAAAGTTTCAACTGACAATTCAAAGGAACAAACTTTTAAAGAAATTTTCCTTTGTAAAAACATTTGCATAATAACAATGAGTAATTCCTCCAAATAGGTTCTCACAATGACAAGCTTTGCAGGCAAAGATGAAGATTTTTCTCAGTGTATGATGCCATGTGTGAAGGGATAACGTAAATTGCACACCATTTGAAACCCTCTGCTTGTACCCGAGGCAACAACACCACCGTTACAAAGCAGCGTGCCCACTGCTCTGTCAGTCCGGTTCTGCAAAAGCTGTACTCACTGAACTATGGGATACTGATTTCAGGAAAATAAATATATAAATAACCCAAGCTGTACAAGTCAAACTTTAACCTCATTCACATGATCAAAATAACGTACTCTGCTTCCAAAGAAGAAGTGGTGGAGCGGAGATATTCCGAGCATTTAATTGATTTGCAAAATGCAAGTACCAAAAAGAAAGCAAAGAGGATTGCAATTTTTACAAGCTATATGTTTCAAGAACAAATTTTCCTTTATGTTAAGAATTTTTTTACTGTATTTTTGGCAATCTAAAAAGAGTGTTCTACTGAGGAATCATTCCAGCAACAAGAATCAGCAGATCAACAAGGACGTGTCTCAAGTCCCTTGATAGGGATGGAGGGGAGCGGGGGAGAGATCCATTTAGAAATTATTTTTGGAAGTCATTAAAGGATGAGACATTCTAAAACATTCAGTTAAGAACACACTTACTCAATTACTTTAAAAACCCCATAGCAGCCTTTACAATTTCAGATTCATGGTACAATGTGCATATTAATTTTGACATTATCTGTTCAGACTATTGCACACATTTTATTGTTGCCATTTAAAGGATTCTAATAGGATAACACCACTGACAGCTTAACCTTTATTAAACTGTTGATACAAGATGATTCTTTTAGCATGAAGTCAGAAGAAGATATTACAGAAATTATACAGCTATTCATAGATTACAGATAAACTATTTAAAATAACATTCTATTTATAATATTGGTCTTTTCTTTACAATTAGAGACCAGAAAAATGAGGGGTTTCTGTCATAATATTTTACGAAATTAGCATTTAAATAATACCTGAGGCACTTTTCAGAGATTATTAAAAGTTATAAACAATTAGCTCACTCGGAGTTAAATCTGAAAAATAAGCCTATGGCATTAATGTTACTTATGATAGAATTGCCACTATTTGCTTTTAAAACCCAGGTACCCGGAAGCTGATAAGAGTTTGTAAAACTGAAGTCAGCTCTAAGCTTTCTGTCTGTCTATAGTAACAATTATGTTTCTCTCATATTTTTCACATACAAGATTTCACATAGAAGATTGTCTAACTATGAATTAAGCCTCACAACATAACTGTAAGGTAGGAAGTGCCATTATCCTTTATACAGAGTAGAAACAGATTGTGGCTTGCTGAAAGGAGGAGGAAGCATGAGGTGGACAACTCCATGGGCTCAGTCATCCTGTTTCATGTTCTGTCATAATACAGTATCTCTGATTATTGCTCCAGCACATTGTATTATTTTGATAGTTCTAACTTCAATCATAATCACAAAGTAATCTAAAATCCTGATGTTATTCAGAGAAAACAACATATGTTCCCCATCACAAGACCTAAACACGGAGCAGACAAATTTAAAAGAGATCTGCTATACTTTGATTGCTCTTGATCACTCAGTATAAAACCTTTGCTGACTTTACAGAAAAGTCACATTGTGTTTCTGTACCTGGGCTTGCCAAAACACACTAAAATAACAGAAGTCAAATTCTGTTCTACATATATCCATAGCCAACAGGACAGAAAATTCTACCTCTGATTTCAAAGCCTTCCTGAGGACAGGAGAGCTTTGCAGCTTCCACATCTTCCCCTACATCTAGTTGCTCATCTAGAGTATTTGTGCAAAAAATAAAAATAAATAAAAGCATATTGCTGTGACTAAGAGATCTGCAATGCATTGATGGTCCCAAGCCAAAAGCACAGGGCAGATTTAAAATATTAAGTTCCTCAATCAAAAATGAAAAACAATCAGACAAGCTATTGGGATTGATGGAAGAAAGCTGTTTTCAGTGTGAAGGATTTTCTTGTTCCTTCTGGCAAATAGAACATCAAAAGAAAACATTCGCCCACAGGTGTCACAGTTACTCAGTATCATATCCCAAAATGGGTCCCAGCCATTTCTCCACCTCTGCCACAGACAAATTTTTTCTCCGTGCATAATCTTCGACCTGCGAAGGGACCATAAAGCATGATGAGTATTTGGAAACTCCAGCTTTTACTGTTTACAGAATTTTTCGCAACATCTGCTTACAAGGTGTTTTTGAATGCTGTAACACCACCACAATGGACAATGCAAGTTACCTGATCTTTACATATCTTGCCAACAGCAAAATACTTCGATTTGGGATTGGAAAAGTAAAGGCCAGAAACTGCAGAAGCAGGTATCATTGCTAGTGATTCAGTTAAACCAATTCCTGGAAGAGAGAATGAGAATTTTCTTATTCTCTGAATTGATAATAAACAAAAATGCAGAAACATTTTTTTTTGTTGGGTGGCTTCAAGCAAACTCAAAAACCAAGCAGCTTTCAGATGAACTATAAACAAAACCATTCTTCACTTGTTAACGATTAAAATAACACACATAGCTTTAAACATACTGCAGACTTTCATTACAGTATTACTGTAGAGTAACTGTACAGTTTGAAGGAAAAAACTTGGACGTTTTCACAAATGAAGTGGGTAACTAAACGTTATGAAACACAAGAAGGTATTTTTGGAATTGTGGAAGTAGCAGTGAAACATCTGACAGATAAAATATCAGAGGAAAACAAATGGAATTAATTCCTTTTTTAAGAGTTACCATCTCAAGGTTTCTGTGGACCAGGAAATACACTGCTGAATTGGCTTTTTTCCTGTTTGTATCTGGAATGTCTTCTTGCAACCATAAGGATGATAGAATTTTTCTCTGTGAAGCAGAACCCTGTTTGCATGCAATCAGCTAATTAGGGACATAACTCCTTCACCAAAAGCACTAGCAGTATTTTGCAAATTCTTCCTCGAATGAAATAAAATAAAAACGGCAATGAAAGGGGGAAAACAGCAATTCCCAGAACTGCTTCAGCTTGGTTTTTTTTTTAATATGGCTCTGCACCACCCAGTTCACTGTTTTGTTGGCATTTCAATCTTTCACTTGCATAAAAACAGTTTAAGAATCTTAGTAAAGCAGAGATACCTGTTGTTTCCTCAATGTTTGCAAGTTTCCACATGGTGAGTTTTTCTGTATGGTCAGGCTGGCTTGGATATCCAGGCGCAGGGCGAATTCCCTCGTATTTAATTCTGCGTAGGTCAGTGAGATCTAGCTGCTCAGTACCACAATAAGCCCAGAATTCCCTTCGAACCCTTTCATGGAGTTCCTCAGCAAATGCCTTGGAATCGAATGCAAAGAGTTATTTATTTATTTATTTTAATTTGTGCAGACTAATACCATAGCTATTTGATGAAGACAAACGATGACAGAGACTTTCTTCCCATTCCCATTTTAATTTTTAAGGGGGCTCTTATCATAGATGTGAAATTTGACAGTATTAAAATTCACATACAATACTTATTTTGCTAATTCCAGTCTTTTAGTTTTTTTCTCTTACAGGTAGATAGTATTTTTTTGGTTGTCCTGCTTTAAAATCCTACATATTCAAAGAGGTAAAGACGTGGACAAATAACCGGAAAAGATGGAGTTCATTAGCCTACGGTAGCGATACATCATTATAGCACTGAAGTCATCAGGTCTTGACTAGGGTATCTCATCCAGGTCTAGCTATGGAAAGCCCCATTTTTTTGGATCCATGCTAGTATCGGATGTAAGCGCGTGCCACTGCTCTTTTCAGCAGAGAACCTCTCCTCCAGCTGAAAGTGGGCAACAGCTTTTCTTAACTGCTCTTACAGTTTACACTATTTTGCCAGCAATGATTGCCTTCAGGAGAAATTTCCATTTCAGTAAATATCTTTAGATGGCATCTAATAATAATTTCTGAAACTCTGTTATAGCTTGAAATACACAACTAGAGCTAACCCCAGTTGCATTGCGCCAAAGTTGCTGTAAGTTTTAACATGGTTAATTAGGTATAAGCATGGGGTCAGGCACATGGGGAGAGAGGAGCAGGAGGGAAGGGACGGCATTTTCTAAACCACTTCAGTTAGAGCTTCAAGAGCATGTCTGTCTAAGCCTAAGACATATAAAGTCAAAGACTTGTACCCCAGGCACAACTGCATGGTCACCATTAAAAGCAGAAGACACGTCTGCAATCCAAGAATATAATTGGTGGTTCACACTGGGGTCCAAACACATTCTCATGTAGATAAAACAAGATTTAAAGATAGTTGTTTTTAAACAGTCTTGTTTTAAAATCTACTAAAATCTATCAAACATCAAAACCCTCATGAAGATCTCAAAGATGCTTTTGCAGCTGGAAGATATGGACAGCAGAGTTCACTCTGGCTCAGAAGAGGACACTCCTCCTCTCAAGACAATTTCGGTAAAGCCAGTTCAATTTCAGATGTCATGCAGGGCATAAGCATACATTACAGGCAGCAGTCTAAGTTTATGCTAAAACTTGAAACAGAAACCTGTCAAGCAAATCTAGCGCACGGTCAGAAAATTTGTGGGGAAGCACATGATAAAACCTCATACCTCTGCCAACCGATCGGCAAGAGCCTTTACCATTATGATGTTGTATTCATCATCCTGTTTCCTAAATTCATTGCATAATTCATCTACACCAAAGCAGGCCACAGCAAACAGGCCCAAGTAGTCACAAACGCCAGAATCCAGTGGTGCTATGAAGTCAGACAGGCAGTAATACGGATCCGTGCAGGCAGAGTCCTTTTCAGCCTGAAGTAACAAAACCAATGCAATAATATATCTTTGAAATGTTCAGATTTAAGTATTAGTGTGTTATTAATCTAAAGACCAGGATTTTCAACACTAAAGGCTTAAGGCATTTCTGAGAGACACCTATCTAGTCTTTGAGCCATGATGGCTTTCTTGTGCTTGAATTAGAAGAAAACCACCTCTCTCACTCTGAGGGTGTTTGCATCACTGAAGAACAAAAAGACAAAGAGAGATGCTGTGCTGAACACACATATAAAGATGTTTTACTCCTATACAGCTAGTAAGATTTAACGGTTTATTCTGCAGACAAATTATTACAAAAGAAGGAACACTCTTGTGCCGACCACTGGGTGAGGGGAGGAATTTTCCATCTCACTCACAGATTCCACGTTTGTTAGCAAAACTGATGGTTGACAGTTTGCCTCCCAGTTATGCAAACTGCAGAATTCTTCAGCAACTTCCATTTCAGCACGGCTGTGAGAGTTTATAAATGCTCCCAGTTTCTTATGCTACAAACCCTGTGCTCAGTAATCCAGACAAAACAGCACACCAGGATGCAGGTTTACACTAGCCACACACAAAAACAAACAAACAAAGGGACTAGAAAGAGGTGACTGAATAATTCTGGCCATAGCACCTAACAAGAAATTTTACAGTTGAGGATCATATCAGCGTATTCATTGTGGGAACACGGCTGCTATTTAAAAAGTGGTACAGCTCTTGTAAATATACCCAACTTACAGAGAGATAAAAGTTATTTCATGGCTATCACTTAGCTGAAGATTCCTCTCCAAGTTTTCTTATTTTAAGGCAGTATTTTAACAATGCTTTCGACTCACTCCCAACTGCAGTTTAAAAAAAATGAATAAAACACCATCATCCCCCCAAAACCAAAGAAAAATGGTCAACTGTTTCTCCAGTTTCTATAACCTACTAGGTTACAGAAAATACCATAAAACTAAAGAAATACCCCTTTTCCACACAGGTGAAATCTATGTTAATTTTAAGGTTCTTTTGTTATGTTTACAGTTAAGGAAAATACCAAATGCATCTCCAACTTTTAGATTTATGTCACATCCTAATGTCAATGTCACGGAGAGAGCTCCGAGTACTGAAAGGAGCATCTTATCTAAGAAGACAATCACTCTCTTCTACTTTGCTCTGGTGAAGCTCCTACATACACCAGATTGAAAGAGATGCCGCTAAAATATGTAGAGTCCAGAAGAACAGTACCCACGATAGCACAGTTTCACGGCCTTAACCTTTGAGAAAAGCCTCAATGAACTGGGAATATACAAGATAAAAAGACCAAGGAAAACAACAGTATTCCAATAGTAAAAACCATTACAAGAACAAACATCAAATCAGATATTCTCCTTGGGAGAACCCTAGGAAAAGGCCAGGAAATGAAACTGTAGTAAACTTGATTTACATGGGATATCAAAATGTTTAACTAGGTAGTAAGGCCCTGGAACAGCCCTGTCTGAATGCTTGTGAGAACAGTTTATATAAACACCTGCCATGGATTGTCAAGATACACTAGATCCATCTCCTGCAATAGATAAACTTCCAGGCAACTGGAGCAGAAAACTTCAAGTCCTGTATTTCTTAGTACAGTTCTGCAATATTGGCAGAGGACTGTCCTCATAGAATACTGTACTCCAGATATTTAGGTAGTTGTTAAATTTGTTTCTGCCATTTGATGGCTGAATATGTAAATTATGAAGTTAACTCAGAAGGTAGGGAAGAAAGAGAGGCAGAATATCTTGAAAATGTTCAATCTATCAAAATAAATGCAAAGTTAATTAACTATGATTCAAGCATGAATATTTAAAATAATGATTGTCTCAATCAGAATTAGCAGCCAACTAATTCTAAACTGCCTCTTCGTATGGGGAATTTTACAAAAAAATTAAGACTATCAAAACCACTTATGTCCACTGAGCTTTATTTTCCAGGTATTTTAATTGTGTTTATAACCTTTAACACATTAGTCAAGCAGAATTTCTTATCTAAGGCAGAATCCAAGGATATTAGAGAATTAATGTTCATTAGGTTCTAATTTAGCACACAGGATCCATGTGATGAATTTACACAGCACAGTCCTTTAGGACATCTTAAATATTCAAATAAAGACCAAAAACGCACATCATAGCTGATGATGTCAAATCTATAAAGCATTCTGTATAACTACCACAATGTGAAATACTACAAATACTACAATACAAATACCTGGGTCATCACTAACAAGATCTTGTCATTACTGAAAGAAATGGCAAGACATTGTCTGCAGACAGACTACAACAACCACTTTCTGCGCAGATTTTTAAAAGGGTACTTCTGTTACATTCTTGCAATTGAGGAAAAAAAAAAATTCACTTTATTTAACAAATGTTCTGTTATTGTACCTGTTGCCTCAAGCCATAAAATTTTGCTATTGGTTCTGAAGATCCCACTGCCTCTTCTACAGCATATAAATGGATATCATCTTGAACACTTTGAGCTGGCCAGAACCCAACCACACCTCTGGCTTGTAATTTCTTTTGATTAATCAATGTTTTCAGTACATTTTGAGCATCATTATAAACTCTCTTTGCTTCTTCACCTATCAAAAATAAAAAAAAGAACCCTTTAGAAAAGGCATATTTTCACAGTTGGCTAAATGGGTTTAAAAATTGCTGAAGATTGGTTCCTTTTCCACATAATTCTTTGATGAGTGCCAACAATCTGTCACGTACAGCAAACAGAGAGAGCAGTGCAATCATGTCTATACAGTTGTAACATCATATATCCTGGGGAAAAAAGCATATATCCAGCACCATTCTAGTAGAGACAGGATGCAGAATAAAATGAGCAACAGAGAACATGTGTGTGCACCTACCTCACCACAGCACAGCGGATCCAGAACACTGATTTCAGTGTAACCTTGGCAATTTCATTATGTATTCCAGGGCCTACGGAATAGTTTCAAAAGCAGACAGAGCCCTCTTGCCATCCTTACCCATGACGGGGACACAGATATATTAAGTGCTCTGATGTCATTTTCTGTCATTAAAATACCCCCCCTGTGTTTTGGCAGGTGAATTCTAAAAGATAGATAATTGAGCATCTTCCCCCTATTTACATTTTAGTCTCACATGCCAATACTTGGTTCACTACGTGTTGCTTTAAACAAATTACTTCAGTGACACTAGGTTTCCACATATTTTCACTATTTCAAAACATTCAGAATCTTAATGCAGCATGGCAAATCTGTTAGGATTATTTACAGGAAGTACATGCAATTTCAACACTCACCTACAGTTTTATCATTAAAGACTTTAGGGAAACCCCGGTTGGGATACTTTCCCCTAAGTTGCCAGACATCAAAGAAAGGCTTCCAGTCAATGTATTCCACCAGTCTATTCAGGTCATAATCTTCAAAGACTTTTGTGCCAATTAATTTCGGTTTAACTGCAGGAATCAGAAGTACAATCTGACATGACGAAAATAATTTAATATTGCTCTTATATGTGCAGTACGACTGGTGCTCACCAGCCTCTACCACTCCAAATGACCTCTTCCAAAGTAAATGTCTTAGAATCCTGTCATACCATTCCCAAGTCATACCATACTCTACAGTTCCAATGTGATTAAAAAAAGCATAAAAGGCATAGAAAGTTGAAATACAAAACTTAAGGCCTTTTGTTCTTTCATATAAATCAACACTTACTAGCTGTCAGACTTCTGAACTTATTTCATTGGCCAAAATATCCACCAAACCAGACCAAAAAAAACCTACACAACTTACTAATACCTAACATATGATTTGGGCATAAATCTGTCATATTTACCCATCTATACAGAGACATAGTACATGCTATGATATTGTAAAACAGTTCCGTAAATTAATAAGAAGTTTTGCAACCACCACACACTTGTTAAGATGCATGCACACAAGTGAAAAAGCGAGATGAAGCTATGTTATGATGTAGCCACAAGCTTTGCACTTGTTTTGTCTGTGCTGTTCAATACTTTCTAATACAGCCTTTATTAAGATGAGCTATTGAAAATTAGCATCTTGTTGAATCTTGTAAATGAAATGACAGTGAAGAGTTAATGTCACTGCACAATACAACTTCTTGTGGAATGCTGTTTATACAGGAATGCTGTCTCTAATTTAAAAAAAATAAAATCAAAACAAGCTGGTACAGAAACTGATAGGGAAGAATAGGAAAAAGTGTAAGGAGGAATTTGACATAAGTGCCATGTCACAACACAATGGTATGGTAAGCTTTGCAATATAGTGAGCCAGTCCAACATTATTTCACAAAGCCAGCACTAGACTTATCTTTGGTTATATGGTGTTATAAGTAACTCATTGTTTTAGGATTTTTCCCCCTGTTTATTTTAATTAATTATTAATTTATTTTTTAAATATACTGTGAAAAGTATAAAGCAGAAACAGGATGCTCAAATTTATGCAAAAAAAAAAATCTCTGCTCAGACACCAATTTACTCAAGTTGTTACACTACTATATCCTGAAGTTTAATGAAGCATAATATAATTAAAAACATATATAAAATATAATACAGGAAAGGCAAAGCAACAAGAAGCAGCAACATTTAAACTGACCTGGTTTATGGCCTGACCAGTCATTATGGAAACCTTTTTTTCTAGCTTGCTGTAGAGACAAGTATCTTCTCTCCTGTATGGACATAAAGGTTAATTTCAAAGCCAGCCATCTTTCAGACAGATAAATTGTTAACTATTGACTTGGTGGTAGAGTTTTACTCAAAATGGTCTTCGGGACAAATCTGACCAGAGATGATTTCAGTTCCAACAACTCCCAGTTCACAAGTGTAAAGTAACATTACGTCACAACTATACCATTATTTTTTCCTGTATACATCTAATGAAACTGGCCTACAAGATTTCTTAGTTCCTCTGAACTACACCAGAAGTTCCTTTAGTACTTCAAATTACACAAAAATACAGGTAGACCATGATACTTTCCTACTGCCTGCAAAAAGCTTAGGATTGCAGTGACACCACCACTAGTGACAACAGCATGTCTCTGGGCAAATTGCTGGCTCTTCTGAAAGGCACAGGAGTGCCTTTATAGCAACTTACAGCAATAAGGCCCATTAATTCACTGCTGACCTCTGCTTAAAAGAGAGTGCTGCACTCACTGATCTCAGCTTAGTGGACTGGTTCTCTGTGCAAAGACAGTCTTAAACTTGGTCAAGCCAAATGTCCTCAGCAGGAGGCCTCAAGCTTTATCTTTCTTTATGAAGAAATTCAGCTTGCTTCTGTGTTTATTTACAAAGACAGACTCAGAGAAGTCATATGTTATTTGCTTCCTATTGTTAATTTGCACAGATCACCTCCACATTTTGTTTCTTCCTTCTCTTCTTTTTCCTAAAATGCCAGCCTCAGCTCTCTACTTTGAGTTTGCTCAGATCCTTAACCTAAACAGTACGAATGCATCAGGAAAGCATGGTGTTGTAAAACAGTGTGTAGCTTAGTACCAGCAAAAGCAGCCAGTGCCATTTTAGTTATCCCAGTGTAGCTCCCTGTTTCCAGCTACTGTTCCAAGAGAGCACTGGTCTCCTGTAGGTTCGTTGACAGGACTGCCAGCTCCATGGAGATGTCCTAGATACCACCGATTGCCCACTGAGGACAATCAAGAATTTGCCAAGCATGTGTTAGATTCATGCAGAATTTTCCCTTGTAGGCTAGAAAATATGATTTCATAAGCACTTCTGGAAGTTTTCCATCAATGCTACTGCATGTTTTAAACCAGCACAAACATACCTGACGGTCTTCATAAGAAGCTGAAACTGAGAGCTAGTAATGAGGCAAGTACTAACCACTTCAAACATGAACAAGAAAAAGGCTAAAGCAATTATATTTGTACCTTGAGAGACTCATAGTGTTCTTGTCTAATTTCTTCATATTCCTCTGATATTTCTTCAAAGAAATCATCCTTTAAACTTTTGTCTAAGAGCTGGGAGCACTGAAAAAAAGTAAAGAGAAAGCGCTAAGTACATACTGTAACATACTATAGTAAGGACAGAGTATGAACTTCAGACTAAGCTACCTGTCCCTCAAACTCTTGTTTCCAGTTACATTTGACAACACTAAAATAAGCCTTAAAACTAATTTGCAAGCTAGGTTCAAAACATATTTATGAAAAGGATTATTACTGAGAGTACTGCCCTACTACACAGGTAATATTAGTAGAGCCAAGGCTCTGGAAATACCTGAGAGAAGAATACTCCAAGACTTTAGAGACTGGATAGTCATAGAAACACCACACAGCTTGGCCTACTTCTTCCCAGCCGGTATTTGCCAGCTAAGACTACCCATTTGTCTTGGAGAGAGCATCCATCCCAGAAAACTTCAGCCAGACATTTCATAGTACTAATGTTGCTGTATCACTAACTTCAGAAATACATCCAAAATAGGGAGACTAGCACATCACATCTAATCCTACTGCTCTTCACAATAAAACGTCTCAGAACTATAGTCAAGGACCCAGAATGAGTCCTGTCACTCTCACGAGAGAAATGGCCATTTAAATAAAGGTATCCAGTGACAATAACTGACACAAGTCAGACGAAATAACCATGTGGCAGCACAAAATAATCAAAGCAACAGTAGTTTAGAAACTGGTCTGTTGTGTCTCTTCAATTTTCTGCCTTGAAGTTAAGAGGAAAGGATGAGAGGCAGAACAGAAAAACAAGGTATATATCTTTGCATGGATGAGAAACTATAATTTAGAACTTACAACCACAACACTCTTGGATGCATCCAGGACATGAATTACAGGTGCACTATATCGTGGGGCAATTTTAACAGCTGTGTGTGTTCTTAAATGAAAAAGAAAAAAAGTAAGCATTTCACAACTGAAACAAAAAAATCCCAGACAAAACCCCCAGCAAAATAAATTCTAACTTAATGCACAGACTAGAACTTCAAAAGAAGAAAGCAATTCATCCATCTGCTATGCATGGATGATTAAACAGATTTTAACAACAGGTATATAAACACTTTTTAAAGTATCAGAATGCTTCATAAATAATGTGCCAACCCACATTCCCTCACTGTCTTACCAGCTGACTGAAAATCAGCAGCTCATTAGTTCAAGCCTCAGAAAATTTCAGTAAGAATGTTTCAAACTAAGCCTACCAAAAACTAACGATTTTTTCTTAATCTTTTAGATCTTAAAGATTTTTAATCTTAAAGATTTTTTCTTAATCTTTTTTGCTCAGTTTGCTTTCTGGAATGCTAAGGTCAAACACCATTTTTTAAATTAATTTAAATCAGAACCCAGGAAGTGATCTTCCACAGCAAAGATAAGATCTCCTCTTTCTTCAGGTTCTGTCAAATATTTAGAGCACTTGGCCATGGAGGTTACTGAGGAGTGTGCAGCACAGCTGTGTAACCAACTGTCCAGGATCTTCTTAATCTGCTTCTAGGCGATGCACCTTTGATCTTGGCAGCACTATTTTTTAGGGAAACATATTGTATCTTCTATTTTGATAGGAACAAAGCAAACAAACAGGGCATGGTCCTACAATGGCACTGTATCAACTAGTACATAGTCATTTGCACATTTTTTAAAAATAAACATTACAACAAAGCCATCACCACTGTTTGTCAGCATCTGAATTTACCAAAAGAGTATAGTAAGAATGCAAACGTCATCGTTGTTATGAGTTATGAAGAAGAAACTGTATTGTAAGTTATGTAGATTGTACTGTAAGTTATGTAGATTCTGTAGGCAAATCCAGCCTATCTCTCCTTCAAACTAACCTCACTTCTCACCCTTCCAAGTACTTATGGTCTCCTTATTCCAGATAACAATGTCTACTTATTACAGAGAAAAGGTGCAGATGATTCTTCATTAGCAACCTGTGACAGGCGCACAACCTTCCTGAACGCACGCAAGGTTAAACTTACAACTGTGAAAGTAAAATCAAACATATAGTACCGATCCAGTCTTCCACAAAGAATACGTTTGCTTGACATATATTTTAGAGAAATTGTATGTATGTGTCTGGGCATATGCATAAGTATATATTTATAAAAGTTCACATTAATACAATTATTATTTATGTATACGAATTATACATATAGTCTTTAATAATTTCCATATTCAAGGATAAAACTAGTGGTGCCTTGCTGTTGGCTATATTCTTCTCTGTGAATAAATTCTACAAAATTGTTTGATGCTGGTTATTTGACATCAATTACTAGGCCACAATGTCCTGTGTCCAAAGACAAAAAAGATCTGAAGAAAGGGCTCTCCTAAGACCTCCACTAAGAATAATGCCTTTTCTCCTCCCCCCCCCCCCCTTTAAGGAAAAAATCCTCCTTGTTTATTCTCAATGTCAAAGCCATAGGAAAAAAAAAAACACTTAGAAGGAGAAAAAGGATACGCTTAACCTTGTGTTATAACTACAGGACAAATAAAGACAGGTAGTGACACTGCTCTTCACTGTCTGTCAAATTAAGGGACGATTTGCTAAAGCCAAAAATACAGAATACATTGAGCTAATGGTTCTGCTATAGTATGTGCTGCTGTGATAAAGCTAACAGCTTCTAGTTATGCAAGAAGTGACCTCTGCAGGCTTCTGAGCTGTCACCTACTCAAGCGTATCATACATAAAACAGTTAGCAAAGCATGACCCAAGGCCATTACACATGCCTAAAACACGTTTGTGGTAATGTTAATACTAGGTGTCGGTGGGCTGTCAACACTGGTCTTCAGGACCTCATAGCAGCTGTATTATTTCATTTGAACGGATCTGAGAGAACAAGATCTCCACAGAAAAGCTCAGTATGTCAAAAGCAAAATGGTAACTACTTCAAGGCAAGCAGCTGGAATTTATCCCCTATCAGCCTGCTTGAACAGGACTGGGGTCTCAACCCAATCAGCACAGTGCTGAACAGTGATCCAGGAAAACACAGCAACTTTCTTAAAGAGAACAGCTGCCTGACGTCAACATGACCGTTTCCAGTCTCAAAATCCTGCATTTTCAGAATGCTCTGGTGAATTGAAACACATCATTCAGCTCTTAGAATAAAAGAACTGTATTCATATGCACATGAGCGTGAACTTTTAGAAGGAAATATAATACTTCCATATACAATATGCACTTGTAAAATATGTAACACTCACAAAAATGAAATATTTAACATGTCCGTTATTTGTTGTCTCCTAATTACATCTTACCTTTATATTCTAGGACTTCAAAGATAAGAAATAACATTCAGTTTTAAGTATATACATACCAGTATGTGTGTTGGGGAAAAGTGAGAGAAAGAGAGAAGGAAATAGCTATAAATTTTCTTTTTCCTGGTTAACATTATTTTCATATACATTCCCCATCTTCCCAACTGAGAGATCTTACTTAGAAGTAGTTGCTCCTCCAATCAGCAAAGGAATCTTTATTGCCAATCTCTCCATTTCCTTGGCGACAAAAATCATTTCATCCAAAGAAGGGGTGATGAGACCAGATAGGCCAATTATATCTATTGCAAATTTACAAACACATACACAAAAAGTTTAGCAAATCCACTCTACAAAGACGCAGAAATTATTACAGAAAGCATTTCTTTCATACATCAGACAGCTTCACGCATCAGATACAAAACAGAGATAAAAAGCATGGTAGTTGCTAGTCTAGAAGCTACGTTTGACCTAATTAGAAAGTGAAAGCTTTCCAAGAATGAAAGTGTTTCCAAACCCCCAGTTTAGGATATTTCTCAACCAGTCTTCACAGCTCCTGAACACCTACTGCTCTAGTTTCAGCAATAAACATACAGTATTTCTGATTAGCAAGCTTCAAACCTCAGAAGTTCAGCACTGAGGAGGGAAACAAGACAAAATAATTACAAGTGCTGTTCTTCGAAACAGCAAACACTTTCCAGCTTCCCCACCTATGTTCCACACAATTCATCTTTTCCAAGATGAAACAGACTGTTTCAAAGCAACTGTAACTTGTTTCAGAAAGTTCATTATTTATTAGAACAATTCATTTCTGATTCCACACTCACTGCTCTGGCAGGGTGAATGCCAAGTTCTTTTACTGATTTAAGACCCAACATGAAGTTATTTAACCTTTCCAAGTCTCCATTTATCCATCTCTAAAACAAATATTACAACATGTCTCTTGGAGTTGTCCTTTCGATACAGGTTTTCAGTTCCTCAGGCTGTTTCACAGAACTGCCAAATACTAAATAATTACTATTGTTAGTGCAGAAGTTCTGATTTATCTGAAGATTGTCTGACCAAGTAACAGACACCACAGGAATGCAATAAGTAGCAATAAAAAAAATGAAAGTGGGTTTAAAATCAAACAATTCAGGAGTACTAATGAAATCTCTCTATACCTGCTTTGTTCTCAACAGCAGCTCTCAATATCTTATCACATGGAGTCATGACTCCTAAATCAATAACTCTGTGAAAAGAAGAGAGATGACACAAAATTCTTTAAAAAGCAAGTCAAGTTTCTGCTAAAGGACAAATACATTGCTCCTACTCTAAATGACTGACCTAAAATTGAAGTTGAAATTGAGATTTTTATTTGTTTGTTTTTCTTAAGACCTCTGTTGGGAATTTTAATATAGGAAATACCTCTGAGTCTGGCAAAAATTTTCAATACATCAGAGTTCCAGATGATACTGTAGGAAAAAAAAAAAAAGGCATAACAGGCTTTTTTCTAAAAAAAAATATATTTTTTTTTTTTTCAGTTGCACTGAGTCTGGCTGAGATGGAGTTAATTGTCTTCATAGCAGCTGGTATGGTGCTGTGTTTTACATTTATGACCAAGCAATGCTGATAACACACTAATGTTTTACGTACTGATGAATGGTGTCTGTCCAGCATCAAGGCCTTCTTCTCTGTTTTTCACTCGAACCCCACAGGGAACAGACTGGGGGAGTGCACAAGAGGTTGGGAGTAGACACAACCAGGCAGATTACCCAAACTAACCAAAGAAATATTCCGTGGCATATGATGTCATGCTCAGCAATAAAAAGGGAGAGGAAGGGACTTAGTGGAGGTTAGCCATCTTTAGCTCAGGAACTGGCTAGGGATCAGTCTACCCATGGGAGCGAGTACCTTTCCATCACTTGTTTGTTTTTTGTTTTTTTTTTTTTTTTTCTTTCTGTCTTCTTCCACTTCTCCTTTGCTTTTTAAAGATTTTTTTATCTCCATCCACAATTTTTCTTGCTTTTATTCTTCCTTTCCACTTTCCCCATCCCACTGAGGTTGGCTGAGTGGAAATGAGTGAGTGGCTGCGTGGTGCTTAGCTGCCTACCAGGGTTAGCCAGCAGCAGTGGCATTTCTGAAGTTATGTGGCCAATATAAAGAAGTTTTGTGGACTTGTGTCAGGAACATAAGATGATTCATATCAAAGGGTTTTTTTGTCTAATTAAAGCATACATTTTATGAAATGACACACTGCACTTGCTAGCACTTAATTCTTACTAACCCTAGCCATTGCCAAGGTTTTTATTTTTTTTCATGTAAGCCACCCCAGTCTGCTACCTTTGTTCAGCCTCCCTGATACTCTTGGTGACAGAAAACACTACGGCTTCAGTTCAGTAAGTCTAAATAAAGCTCAAGAAAGCATGAAACCAACAGACAGAATTTCAAGAGATAATGAAACGGAATATACTGCATATACACAGCACTGCTACTGGCTTCAACCTTCTGTGTTTTAAAATAAGGAGATCATTTTGGCTCTTTTTAGAGCAAATTAGAGCCCTAAGTCAAAAACAAAACTAAAAGAACAAACAGTAAGACAGAGGTCCAAAGCAGATTCAGCTTTGCGCAACACTGGACAAACACTTGACAAAGGACTCTGATGGAAACATGACTATTCATTCCAACGCTCTTATCAACCTTGCTGCATGTACACAGGTCTTGAAAGAACTGACTTTTCTAGAAGTTCTGTCTTTTGAAGCTCAGGAACAGGATGAGAATTTCATCTCTTACTTAAAAAAAAGAAAAACCTAGCGAGTTTTTAAAACCTCATTGTTAACAAACAGCTTGAAAAACATACTAAAAGCTTCATATGAATCTTACAAGACTTCCTTTTTCCCCATCACAACATGCAGTCCATATCTAGTCTTGCCTATTACAATTGTCATATCCTATTTCTTCAGACATTATACTTATATGTTTAAGATATTCAATATAAAACAAATACAAAAATTGATGCTGTCATCTATGTTTCAGTTGATGTTCAACTGTATTCACCTTCGACGTCAATGTATTAGGGAAAAAAGTATTAAAGGAGGAGGCTATACACCCTCTCACCTCCCCATTAGTAACAGCTGGTACGATCTGTGTTCCCAACCACAACTTGGGGAACAGAAGACAGTTCCCAAGAAATGCCCACCTCTTATCACCATAACTGCACTTAGCCTAATAAATTAATTAGCTAGCCTTATACAGGTGTGTTCCCAGTTACCTAATGTTAGTCTCTTTACCTGAAGTTGTTGCAGCCCAGAACGACTCCCACAATGTTCTTGCCAATATCATGTACGTCTCCTTTCACAGTTGCTAGTACTATTGTACCATGATAAGGATCCTGAAAGTTGAACAAATAACTCAAGAGTGAAATTACTTGGAAGCCTCAGTATTTTCACACAGATCTTTCAACTCAACATTGCAATCCTAATCCATGACCAAGACTCTTATTGTAGTACAAGCAATTGCAAAGCATAGTAGAGGCAATAGAGTCAATATTAAAAACTATTTTAAAAGATTCAAGTACTGAAAACTTGCACGAGAATTATCCCTGCAAATTGTGTGGATGTTATTCAAAAATCTGTGTTTAAAAAAAAAAAAAAACCAAAATAGCAGATAAAAGATTTCAGATCTGGATAGTATTTTGTGCAGTACAATAACTGAACTTCTAAGATATGTCTGCTCCAAATATAAACCTCACCAATGAAGAGTTTAAATAGATTAAACACTTAGGACAAAAGGGTATGAACACTCGTAATTACACGCCCATTTGTGCATCAAGAACAATCTTTCAATGTAATGCGGAAAAGAACGAGAGGAATTAGCAAAAGCAGAAGAGACTAATTTTTCATGCAACACAAATAGCAAGGGAGACATTTCAGTGCAGTGATCAGGCTACTTCAGACTACCCAAGCTAAACAAACAGTCTGGAAAAAGGATCTCCTCGAAGTAGGGAAGCTGTACTGTCACAAACTGGTCCTAGGCTAGATGGCATTCAGCCCTAACAAAGGAGTCCTACCAGCAAGACAACAGTGGAACTTCCTATAGGAATTCTCCACCAGGACACAGGCCTTTGCAATACATTTTTAGTTGTATAATCAGTGTTGTCATTTGGAGCAGCTCCAGGCTATCCAGTGCCATGTTTGAGTTGGTGCAGGATCTGATGCCAGTAACAGACTACTTAAATTGCACAGAATTTAAAGAAAGTGGAAACTTAAGCATATTCTATGTGGAATTAAAAAATATTTTCTGGCCAGTATCTCATCTCCTTTGCAGATGGCAGAACTGGAGGATTAGATCGTTCTATCAAGCATGTTATATTTCTGGACAGTATCAAGTAGTTCTCTGCTTCATGAATCTACATTGCCTTCCGTAGCTGCAATTTTCTGGGGGAAAAAAAAATGTATATATTACCAAGAGTGGTATTAGCATTTCTCATGGTCCTAACACAGACGTTGAATTAAAATCTCTGAATTCTCACCAATGCTGCTGTCTATTAAAATCTATTATCTCTCCAGTGCTCCTGTTTTTACAGAAGACCAGGGAACAGAGAAGGCAAAATGGAGGTCTGTAAGTCAGTCATCTCAGTATATCAGTAAAAAAAAATGCAGCTGAAAATATACTGCTGGAATGTAAGAGAAAACTGGGGAAAGAGATTAATCAAGGACTGAGGGAAGAACAAAAAGTCCTGCCCACATGTATCACACCAACAACTACTGATGATTTAACTAGCGATTGATATCCAAGAAAAAAAAAATGGATTTGCACATGAGCAAAAGGCAAATCTGTGCTGGGCAGCAAACAACATGGGCCAGAGCACATGCTATTTTAAATAAATCCTATTTAGGGCACACTGTGATTTCAATTGTCTCAAGCAAGTAGGTCCTGAAGTCCTGGGCACACATCCAAAAGGCTTCTTTTTTTTTAATCTTGATAGAGATCCATAGCCACAGCTATTCATCCTCAAATGTAACTATCAATGCTTTGCATTTCCTGGCAGTCTGTGACTAAAACTGTCCTGGAGGCTACAGTAGTCTGGGTAACATCAGATGGATCAGGTACCAGAGTCTGCAAATCATTTTCCTTCAAGTCAACATCTAACTCTGGAGATACATGCAGCTGGTTTTTCCTCTCTCACTAATTCTCTATACAGTGACAACATTTTTTGAAGAGGAAGGCACTACACCCCTCGCCCAGCAGAAGGCAGAGGAAGCAGGAGCACAGACACCCTACATTTTCCCTCCTGTTCTCCTCAACCACACAGAATATATCACAATCTCTTCAGAGTGCTTCCTATACTTTCAAGAACCTCTCAAATTCCACATCGCTTGTTTTTAGCCAGAGAATTAAGTGCCAGAGGGTTGACAGTAGATTGTAATCCAGTGCTCATGGAAGTAATGGGGTAATGATTTTCACTGACTACAAACAGCATCAGAACAAACCAGAAGGTGCCAAATACTGGCATTGTCATCTGAATTAAAATAAAAAAAGAACAACATGAGCAGGAGAGAGATGACACATAGAAAGGTGACTCATGACAGCCAGAGAACAGATTCGCTTGAGGTACTGGAGAGAAGACACCTTCTTCACATCCAGAAAGATCACGGGAACAGAGACTAGGCATTCTCCTTCTTCCATTGAGATTAGGTAGGTTTGACTATAAGGTCATTTTTCTTTCTAAATTATTTTCTGTATTCATTACATTTATCCCAGGCAATCACACAACAGAACCACAGCAAACAGAAAAGATACAGTGTAAGAAGATTTCAATGTAAGAATTAAGAATCATTCAAAAATTCACAGAAGGGAAACCAAAGGAAATACACGAATACCACAGTTTAGAGAAATTCTGCTATTCTTCCTTTTTTGTGTGTGTGCTAAATACCAGATTCTGATAAAAGCTATTGTCTCTGAGAACTCATGAAGACAAGCTAAGGTTGCACAGGACTAAAGAAAATTAAATGTATATCAAACCTAAATTCGATAGGCAAAGACAAGAGAAGAAAAATATTTAACAACCAAAACTGTAAGCACCTATCACATTACAAATATAGTAGGAAACAGCAGACATGTGTATTTAAAAGGAGATTTCGTCCAATTCACCTGAACTCTTTTCTACTGAATAGAATCTTGTCAGTATAGAGAAACAAGGGACATGCTGCATCTTCATTCTCCAATGCTCATATCACACATTCCATTAGCCAAATTTGGAAGAAATTAATTCAAGCATATGCACAGGTAGGTTCACAAAACTATTCTCAAGTATCACCAACTGTTGGCTGTTAAACAGGAAATGCTATAAAGGAAAGGCCCACAAGGATTTGAAAATCACTGGATATTTTCCAGTACATATATTTTACATATTACATAAAAAGTAGTCTTCACAAACTGGTGAAAAAACACACGTAAGAAAAGACAACTATATTCAGATCCTGTTTTCATAAACACTTGTCCCCTGCAACTTGGTCATGGCTACACATGCAATGAGTATGCTACTCTATCACAAAAAAAAGAGGTCATGAAGAAAAGAGATGGAAGAATTTGATTTGTTTAGCTGGGAGAATGGTCAGGGCTATGGGGAAGGGAACAGATGAGTAAAGAGAAACGTGGCAACAGGCTTTGAACATGCTAAAGGGAGTTCCATAATTCACTGAGAACAGAAATAGCAGAAGCAAATGGCAAAATTTGCCATAAGGTTAGAAGTATCACAAATAAATAACACTAGAACTAATGCCTACAAAAACAGAATAAGTAAGTAACACTAGTATAAAAGGCCTACAAAGGTTTATGGCATCCTGCAGGAAACTTGTGACAACATCCTAGGCAAACACCAAGCAGAATGCCACTGGGGAACGCCACTTGGCTCACTGGGGAAGTTCCGCTGGACT